GCGTCTTTATCCTGTAGTTTGATACTGGTAGCGGAGCCTCCGGGCTCCTAGGACCGTTGTGCGTAGTGTAGCCATGGCTGGTAGTGACAGTGATCCCCCGCCTGGCTTTGAGCCCAGACCAGATGTTCGTCCACCAGGCGATCTGCCGATGCCTGCATTCCGTCTACACAGAGGTGCGCCTGATCGTCCCTCTACCAGTGTCCCCGATGCAAGTTCGGAGCATGGTGTTTCTCAGCCTGCTTACGGGGATGTGCTTCATCATGAAAGTGGAGACGCCACTCGCCGCGAGTGGAGTGACTCCGACAGGAGTCAATGGGTGGGAGCCTCCGGTTCACTCAGGGGCGACGAGTGGAATACCGGAGACTGCGACAAAGGAGCTACAGGACCGCACAGTGAATGGGAGCGCCGTGCCAGTTGGGGAGCGAGGAGTACAGGAGTTACGTCCTCAAACTACGAAGCCCACCGCCGCGAACAACGAGAACCTCACAGAGACGACCCATGGTCCCAAGGCGACGACCCGTGGTCAAAAGGGAGAAGCGACCGTGAGCGCCGCTACCAAGGACATGGAGGACGCGATGACGATGAGAGGCACGACTGGCGAAGCAATAAGCATCCTCGAGGAGATCCCCCGGCAGATGGTCGAGATAACCGAGGGACTTGGCACGATGACGCAGAAGGGCGCGGACGTCCCGAGGCAGATGGTCGAGATGGCCGGTCTCATTGGCGCGATTCGCCGCAAGTTCGTGGGGTGTTCTGCCAGGACAATAGCCTCAGCCACCACAGAGGAAAATGGGAGCCCAAGGTTGAGGACCAGTGGTACTCGAAGCTCGATGAGGATACTAGCCATGCCTGGAGCGGAAAGAGCACCGAGTTCTGTGTGGACCACGGCTTCGGCAAGGGCGGCCAAACCGGACCGGCCGCGCGGGCATCCGAGCGCCTACAAGTGCCGTCTTTCAGTGCAGAGGACAGCGAGGACTTGGGAGGATCTGCAAGGTCGTACCTCAGACAGATAGAAGCCTGGAAACGTATGACTATGCTACCTGCAAACAAACAAGCCCTCGTCCTGTACCAGAACCTGTCCGGAAAAGCTTGGATTGCAGCCGAGGAACTCAGTCTTGGCCGCCTAGGTGAGGATACCGGCGTGACGTACCTGGTATCATGGGTCACCGCGCGGTTTCTGGACCTGGAGATCACCCGTATCGGCCGAGCTCTAAGTGACTTTTTCAGAAGATTGCGAAGGCGACCTAATCAGACAGTCCGCGAGTACAACACTGAGTATGACCGCTTGTATGGACGCTTACGCGAAGTGGGGTGTTGTCTACCTGAAGAATGTGCTGCTTGGGTCTACATCGATAGACTACAACTAGACGAACCACAAGAGCTCAACCTCCTCGCCAGCGTGGGCAACAAATACGATCTTCTACGTCTACAACAAGCTGCCGTACTACACGACAGGGGCCACCGGAAGCCTTGGGAAAGCGGCAACACCAAGGGGCGACGAACCAACTTCGCGAATATGACCAACGACCTCGCCGTCATCGAGGAGGACTACCCCGACGACGACGCCGATGAGGATGGCATACCAGAAGAAGTCGCACAGGCCTGGGTGACGTTTTGGAGTGCCAAGGAGAAATACAAAGGACAACAGCGCGCCCGAGGCTTCCAAGGAGAAGGCGAACGAACACGTGAGCCCGAGCACGACAGCACGCTCAAGCA